CACAGCTGCCCTGGGGCAGATTGACAGAAGCGAGGCTGCCGTATTGGAAATGGCTTGAGACCTAGACTATTAGCAAAATGTAGCTGTTGTGTATGAAAGGTGTCCAATTAATAATGCATGTACAAATCCAGAGTGGAGCCATTTGGGAAGATCACGCAGTAACCGTAGGATAATTTTCTCTCTCATCCTCTCTTCCTTTGCTATTGAGTCTGCAGTTATACCATGAATGTTATAACACAGTGCTTTATTTAAAGCCCAGGCCATCTCATACTATGCTGTTTCTCCCTCCCATCCTGCAGGTGGCAGCATAGACAGCGACTGTGCCTTTGAAGGAGACTACGCCGTGCCCCCACTTTCAATGACTGAGGGCATGCAGCATATTCGCATAATGGAGGGCGTGTCACGCTCTCTGCCCTCCTCCCCGCTGCTCACCCATCAGACCATCAGTGTCAGGCTGCAGCCAATGAAGAAGCTCACAGGTAAGGATGCTGCAGGTGATAGAGGAGTCACTCAGAGTGCAGGATTTGAAGTTGTTGTCATTTTCTTTTTAAACCAGAGTTCAGGAAGAAAGCCACAGCCAATAGAGACGTGGGCTAAATCTGGTATACATTTGCCTGTGGCTGTCCTCCCCCATAGACTCACTGTACTAACACAGCCTCCCTTAGCCCTTCACTGTACCACTGTAGGCAGCTTAATCACAAAATCATGCATACTGAGTTAAAACTGATTTTACAAGACTAAGCAATGTTTCACCCCGATGCTTGCTGATAAGCAGTAATCATTTACTGTATTACTTGCCCCCCTAATTCTGAGTAGAAAGCAAGTGGAGCTGAGCTCGGGTTTCTGGCAAACGCTGCAATTTCCAATTGTTGTAATCGCCAAAGTCCTACCTAATTGACAGTGTCAAGAACAGATGATGGACTGCGAGCTGCGGTTGGCTCAGGCGTCCTTTATTGCTTTTTACCTCCTACCACTAATCGTTTCCTTCCACAGTCATCACTGACATTCAGAAAATGTGGAAAATTGCCTCCCCTCTGTCTCCTCATCAACTGCTTTATGAGTCTGCGTTGTGTTCCCTCTACTATTGCAATGGGGAGAAGCAGTTGTTTTGGTACACAAGACGGTCTGGGCATCAAAGGTTACCGCTCTACTTGTGCTTTCAAAATGAGAATTGAAATATCGACAGCACAGCTTCACCCAGTATCTGTGCAGCCTCCACACAGAAGCAGAGTGGGTGTGGATGAGTTTAAAGCTCGACTCGGTAGTCGCCACTAGGGTGCACCAATCTCCCAGCTACTTCAGATCATTAACCGTTTCTGGTATGCCGGGGGGAGCTGTGATTTTTACATCATACAGAATGATTTATGATCTCTCCAGGGTCATCCAAACTGTGGGTTTTAAAGGGGAAACGCACATCACATAACCACATCATTTTCTCCCATTTTAACTGGGTGTGCCACACTGCTGTAGAGGACTGTGTGTGGACGGATGGAGCAGAGGTTTCTTTTTCTTTCTTTCTTTTTTTCTCGAGAATTTAATTTCAGAACAATCCGGCCAAATCACACTCTTCTCCCCACCTCCTCCCTCGCTGTTCTGCTGTTTGAGGAGCATTTTGTGTGCTTTTCTTGTATTTGATGTTTTGCGGCTGATTCAGCCTGCTTCTAAAAGGCTTCTTTCATCTGCGTGAGTCGCAGCTAGTTTTTAGGACATCATACGAATCTGTAAATACGAATGTGTGTGTGCGAGAGAGTGTGTTTGTGTGTGTGTTGTTTTCATGACAGCCAAGAATAGCTTGATTAATGATGCACGGCGCTGTCTCATTTGTACTATTCTTATTTTGTGGCTGACGTAGGGAGAGGTCTCTTTGCAGTGTTCTCACACATGTCATCATTTGGCTTGATGTATTACACCCGTCAGGTGCTGCTTGTTGTGTGTTTGGGGATTTTCAAACTTAATGATGCTTTTTAAACAGATTTTTTCTATGGATTATGTTTCATAATTGACTCACTTCACTACACTCGTCACCTTAAGTGAACATGTGTTGTAACTTTCACTAGGATTAGCTTGTGCTTATCTGTATAGATTTGTGTCATATCTTTTATTGTCTGTCATAAGGTGGCGTCTATTTAAATAGTGAAGTCATTGAAAAAATATATAATTGCTTTAATCCAGATAAAGGTTTTTGCATTAAAAAGGACTTATATATGGTATGTCCAGTGGTTGTTCTTCAAATCACATGTCAGTATGACTTTACAGCACTTATAGGACCAAAACGGCCTGTCAGTGAAATGACAGCATGCACAAAAGCCCTCAAGTGCCCATTGTCCTTCAAGCCCTCAAAGACCTGTGTCTTCTCTCAAGTGTCATCCACCAGCAGACTGTATTTGAGCTCAGTCTACCCAGCTTTGTCGCCCTTTAATTAATTCAACGCAGCACCACTTCCTCCGGTACTGAGCTTGTGTGCGGTGTTACCGTCACAGGCCTGAACCCCTCCCGTGCCACATATTGCAGAGGTGAGAGAAGCGAGTGCGCTAGAGAGCAAACAGCAGTAGGTCTAAAGGGCTAAAGCGCTTTGATTCCCCCCGGTGGTCTCCCCCAGTCACAGCTTCTATCTGCCCTCGTTTGTAGCTCCTGATTGGCCCTACGGGGGCAGAATGTGATGTTTGTGAAGACTTGAGTTATTCAACCTTGTAAAATAGCAATGAAATTTCTGACCTTTTCAGAGAATCATTGACTTTCTGACTGAATCCCCTCTGCTTCCTTGAAGACTCTTGAAGGGGAACTTCTTAGACAGATTTTTGGAGTAGGAAGAGATGCAAGCAGGCACTGCAGAGTCAGTTTTTCATGTAATCACTACTGGTTTTCTGTGGACTTGGAAGTAACGCCACAATTCTTCACCCTATTGGTCAAAAAAGTATGAAGGTACTTATGAGATGGAATGATTAGCTGATACACCGAACAACATCAAAACCACAGACATGCGGGACTAATCTTGTTACAATGCACTGTTATGTCATGAAACCTTGTCTTGCTAAGTGGCATGCATTGTCATGACTTCCTTTTAGTTGTCTATATTAAGGAATAATCTATTTTAAACAAATGTGCACAGAAAGGTCTAGGTTATTGATGTTCGTTTAGTGAGTTACTTAGAGTTTGGCATTGAGAGGTAATCCACTGGATGTATGAGTAAGGCACTGTGTGCTAAACTACAACTACTAAACGATATTAAAGATTCTGCAGCAACTTAAGGAAAGAAAATAATCTACATTTTTGTTTTATCATTATAAACCAGTAACATCTTTAAAACCTGCTGAAAATGTTGGATCTCAGCACCTTTAGGCTGCTTACTCTGTGTATATCTGATAACATCTACTGCTACGGTTGGCCACACTGAGTGTTAGATTACAGCAACCACTCAGTGCTTGTTCGTAGCAAGCAGTTTTACCTGTCTCCTCAATATTTGGTTTCAGCAACCACCACTAATACCATTGGCAGTCCTCGATGGCTTTGGTCTCCCTCACAAAACTTGCTCATGATTGGATCAAGGAACATGACAAGGAGTCCAAACCATTCAAATTCTTAAGAACCAAATCTGATAGAGAGTCCATGAAATGCCTAAAAAGACTCTGTCGGTGGTTTTTATGTTGTGCCTGAATCCCTACACTATATAAAAGATAAATTTAGCCGCCATGGCATCACACAGTTTTTAACTCAGTATTGGCAAACATTGACTTAAAATTCTCAACAAATGCCAGCAAGCTTGATTAGAAAGCTACACCCATAATGGATCCACACAGACACACAAATCTGCTATTAGCGCTAAGTCATGAAAGTCCTATTATTTCACTCTTAAGGACTGAAGCTAATAGCAAACCATATGATTCCATTAAAACCTTCTAAAAAGCTTAGCAGCCGAAACATCACTTTAAATTGGAGAAAGTGATGCCTACAACTCCCTGTTTCAGTTTCTCTTTCATAAACTGTGGCCATGAATATGTGGCCATCAAAAACAAAAAAAGAAAGAAAGATAGGGGACAAATATTTTTTCACAGAACTGTACTCTGGTTTCATTTTTAAGCCCTGAAGGTTGGAGCTTGTTTTAATGATATGTTTTGCATGAAAAAAACTTGATAAAGTAACTAGTAACTGCAGCTGTCTGATAAATGCAGGGTAGTGGTAAATGCTTAAATACAAGTACCAGATATAAATACACTTAATTATAGTACATTAAACCACTGACGGGGCTCATCTGTCCCTCATCTTCATGTGCGTTTGACAGATTTCGCGTCCACGTTGTTTATGTTTTCTATTTTTAGTCCACTGTTGTCTCCGAATTGGAGTGGCTCATTGTCGCACTTATCTCTTAGTGGCTGATTGTTATGAGCTGTAATCACTGATTGCTTATTTGTGCTTTAATAAACACCTCACTCAAGTGTCAGGCTCACCAGAGATGTCGCCCCAGCTGATTGATTGGCCCTGCTCCACTCAGAAACATTTAAGAGGACTTATTTCAACATCTCTCCCCAGATTACACTGCTTTCCCCTAATTAATGGCTACAATCAATACAATTACTGCCTCCCCATGGATTGCAGCATAAAAGTGGAAAATTGCATTTGGCCTTAAAACCTGAGAAAAGCCTTGATTTAATTACACAGCCTAATTTTTCACCCACTTTTGCTTCAATTATCACAGTGATATGAGTATATCGAAAATCTATTGTCTCTGTGGTGCTCACAATAATGGAGTAATATGTGAATAAGTGGGAATGCACTACACTTAGCAAACTTGTAAGTGGTCACTGATGTAGGCACGAGTAGTGGTCAGGGTTAACAAAGCACAGTGTGCAGGACTGCTTAGTCAGGTTTTACAGCTCATGGTGTGGGTGGTCTTAAAGAATCCGCATTAAAACAGTTGAGCAGTTGAGCTCTGCTAAATTGGCTACTTCTGACAAATGTTGCATCTCTGTTTTTGTTTTTTTGTCTTCTTTTAAATTTATTTTACAGTGGAATCGTTCAAAGGAGATGACACGCTCCCTTGTTGGGGGTTTTCCTGCAGAGATACAGCAGACTGCAATAAGATTATGGTGTATCTGAGTCATGCTCAGTAGAATCTTTTTTATTATTTTTTGAAGTATTTGGGGAATGTGGATGCGGCTAGCAGAGGAAAGCATGACACAAAAATAGTTCCATTTGATTAGAAAATAACATTAGGACAGCGATTCGTGGCCACCTGCTGAGCTGTGAAAATATTGCAGGAAAGCCACAAGAAGTAGTTCAAACTACAATCCAGCCCCAAGAAGGCCTCTGAGTCCACCTCCAAGGCACAATGACCACCCCCACTAAGAAATGGGACTGATCAGTGGAAATTCACCCAATCGGTTTTTCAAGGAGGAATGATATCTCTCCAGACTAGCGTGGTTTAGAAGTAAATTTCTATATTGAGTTGCACATAAATCATTTTTTGATTTCCAATTCATGA